AGAGTGATTATCTGGGGCTCTAATAGGGGACCTGGTTCCTCTTTAAATAGTTCCTTCTTGGGAATTATTCCTAAACCCCCAGATCTCTTTAAGAGGCTTGGTGGAGTTCAAGGTCAGAGTTTGTCCAGAGGCCAGTCTGGATTTAGGGCCACATTAATGAGAAGTGAAGCCCTCAGTGTGTGGTGAAGTCTCATGGTTTTCAGGCAATGGATGTGCCCCTGGGGAAGAGAGCAGGTGAAGGGGAACTGAACTTGGCCATGCAGTGACTTAAGTGGCTGTTTTTGTTAAAACACAGATGAGTGGACGTGAGCGCTGGGAGAGGGCAGGTGCTGGTAGAGGGAGCCTTGACATAGTCCTGTGAGACCCTGGCCTCTCCCTCACCTGGAAAGTTCCTACCCATTAGAGCCAGCCCTGCTGACAGATTGGGGACAGAGCTGAGGCGGGCAGTCCTCAGAGTGTGACTAATGGGAGTGATCGCTTAGCCTCAAGGGCTCTTGCTGGACTCTGGTTTTGGGCGGGGGTGCACAGCAGCTCTGGTCAGCTGGTTCTGAAGATTCCTGAGGCTCAGCGGTGAACAGACGCAGTCCCGATCATTTGGCCACCTGGGCCCCCGCGGCTTGGCTCTCCGACCTTTCTGAATGCATCCCTGGACATTCTGAGACGCTGGTTATGTGGGTGATCCTTGCTTTCCTGCCTCGGGTGAGTTTTCACCAGACTTTTTTAGCATGAACATTCTGAGAGAGGGGGCCGCTGTGTGGTGAGAAGACCCTGAGACTCCCACACCTGCTGGGAGCATTTGTGCAGAAAAGCGTGCCAAGACGTAGGCCCTGCAGGAGAGGCCACACCACCACAGGGCAGCAGAAGGACTTTAAATCAACAGAGCCTCTCTCCCATCTTGGGCAGGAAATAGTCAGTTTTCTAATTTAAAAAGTCAATATGAACTGTTACCTTCCTCTATAAAATAAATAGAAATACTAGAAACCTTTCCAGAAGCAAAAAAGAGTTCACTCAGCAAGACAGCTCAGGACTTAGAAAAAAAATGTTATTAAAAAGTGGTACATCCACAATGGTGGGAACAGAGGGGCTCATGTCGAGAGAAAAAATTGAAAATGTCCAGGTTGGTTTGGGCCTTGATTTACCTGTTGAAAAGGCAACGATATTTCACATTCTGGACGATGAGCTGGCGCTGACATCTTCACTGCTTAATCAGAAGAATCCTGCAAATTAACAGGTAATTCTGATGGAATAGCGAAAGCTCTCTTGGGTGGAACATTAATTATCACCCTGCTGTAAGGGAGAGGTGACGATGTGCGCTTGCCCAGGAAGGAGGGAGAGAGCGATTTTCAGGGTCAGTGGATTTCTCTCTCTCCCTTCTTTTTCTCTCCAGAGGCAAAGAGAAGCAACAGAAAAGACTGATCTGCCCACCCCCCCCACCCCTCCCCCAGCCCCAGGAGTGGTTGGCTGTGAGCTTTGTGAGCAGGAGATACCCTGTGTTGCAGGCAGGCACTCACAGAAGGCTGCCTGCTGTGTCTGTCCACAACTACGACTGTGCAAAAATCATTTCAGGAAGTGCCTGGGGTTTCTAATATTCCCTCAAGAGCCATGCACCCCACTCCACCTCCTCCTCAGCCAGCCCTGGGGACCTGGCATCTGAAGCTGCTTCCTGTTTCCATTTACCTGAGACATGGAGTACTTTTACACAGCTGGGAACCAGGCCAGTCCCTGTATCAGTTTTCTGCTATGACAGCCGCAACTCGGTTGTGACAGCTGGGTTTGAGAGGTTCAGCTTTGCGCAGTACCCTGGCCTTGCTAGGGTTGGCTTTAATTCTCCTGCCTCTGGGCCAGCATTGTGGCATAGTGAGTTAGACCACCATCTGCAATACCGGCATCCCGTATGAACACCAGTTCAAGTCCTGACTGCTCCACTTCCCATCCAGCTCCCTGTTAATGAGCCCGGGAAAGCAGCAGAGAACGGCCCAAGTGATTGGGCCTCTGCACACATGTGGGAGGAATGGACAGAGTTCCGGGTTCCTGGCTTCTGTGTGGCCCAACCCTGACTGTTTGAAGCCATTTGGGAATGAACCAGTGGATGGAAGATCCTCTCTATGTTACCTCCACTCCACCTCCACACACACTTCTCTCTCTCTCTCCCTGTAACTCTGCCTTTTTAATAAACAAAATTTTTTATTAAAAACATTTCTCTCGCAGCTCCATTGTGCACTCCATGCTCTCTCAAGCTGTGTTTGCACACATGACTCCCTGGCTTGGAATGCCTTCCTGCTCCTTCTCTGGGCTGAGGCCTGCTTGTCCATCAGGCACTTGTCACTCAGGAGCACCTGCTGCAGCAAGCCTCCTCCTACCACCCCGCTGCACTTAGCTGACCTCCCCAAGTGCCCCGTCCCGCCCTGCTTTCCTCTCTCACCACCCCAATCCTGCGGGCTTGCCCACACAGGCCTGCGAGCATGGGAGGGGCAGCGACCGTGTCTTCCATCTTGTGCTGCAGCGTCCAGCAAAGGGTCTGGAACATGGAAGTGAACATCACTGACTCATCTTGGATGGCAGATGGTGGGTGGGGGTGAAATACCCTCCAGTGGGAAAGGCCCAGGGTATGTCCTTCCAAGTGGTATGGACAGGGTCCTCCAAGAGGATCTTAAAAGTCCAAGGAGAATGGACAGTAAAATGCCCCGCTTCCTGCTTCCAATAGGAGTGCATTGATGAGGGCATTGATGGCATCTTGCTAGTTGTCCACTGTATCACAGGGGGCTGTGTGCCTGGATGAAGAATGTGGAAGAGACCAAAGGCCATGCAAAATCCATACCAAGGCCTAGGATTCCCACACAGCATGGCCCAGGACTGGTTGTGAGGAACATACTTGGAGAAACATTGATATTTCCTTTCTTTTTCACCTCTCCAAATAATGCATATGCCAGAGCCCAAGATGTGGGCAACTTGGGTCTCAGACTTTATTCCCTCCTTCCCTCCTTCTCTTCTTCCTTCCCCTCTCCCTCCTTTTCTTTGTCTTTTCCTCCTTCTGTGGTTGTCTGAGGGTGACGTTTGAATTGTTGTAACAGAGCGGGCCACCAGTGTATTTGCGTGTGACTGATGGCTGGCCTGCAGGCAGCCGGCTCGGTCTGCACATGCTGAGAGAGCCAGGCTCGGCCGGTAGGGATCCCTGCCCCTGACAAACTGGTGTTCGGCCATCTGTGAGTGATAAATCAGCCACCCCACGCCAAGACATCCAGCGCAGAGGATTTCTCACTGGGAGGAGATTGTTCAGATCAGGAATTGTGTCTTCTCACCTTGGCCTCCACAGCGCATCACTCATAGCAGGGACCCACCAGTGCCTGCTGGATTCGTGGACATAGGGCAGTGTTAGGACATGGTTAGGTGTTGAAACCACATGCTAATTGCAGATGGCAGAGAAGACTCCGGGAGGCCTTCTCGTTCAGAGCCCAGGAGTCAGGCCAAGAGTGCCATGGGGTGTGCACACCATCGATCAGGCAGATGGTAAACACACATCCTCAAGTTAGAGAGTCCAAGCGGTTGGAAACACAAGGCCGTGCTTGGGTGTGGGCATAATTGTCATCTGAGCCCCGAACTAAGGGTCTCAAAAAAAAAAAAAAAAAAAAAAGGCAAACTTTCAAGGTATGCTTTCTTGTTTTGAAAGTCTGCTGATGCGCAGTAAAGATAAAAACGGACAATGGGGTTTCCCCGATACTCTGCTAAGCCCAAAGGAAGTGTCTTCTATGCTGTTGGCACTCACTCAAGAAACATTTGAATGAATGATTTGGAAGTGCAGGCAAGCTGGCCGGGACATCTGTCACAGTGCTGATGGCCAGCGTGGATTTGGCTGGTCCAGCTGGCTGGGTGTGGCTCCTCCTCTTCCCTCCTTCTGGAGGGGGTGTCGGGGTGGGAGGGGGAGCAGTGCACCTTCTAAGATAGAGCAAAGTCCCACTTCCATTTAGGAGATGTTGCAAGAACACTTCCAGGATGTTCCTGTGCCTGTTTCTTGTTATCCACGCACCCTCCTCCAGACATAACGACTGTCACCTTCCCAGTGACCACTCCGAACGGCCAGGACTGGTGGAAGGCCTCTGCTCCCCAGTTCCCATATGTGACAGTTTTATCACCTTCAAGCCCAGCGTCGTGTTTGAAGTCCTCACATCAAGGCCCGTCTTTCTTCCAATGGCAGGTTTTTGGCGGAGCTGCCAGCCTCATAAAACAAGGTAATGATGCTTAGGGAGAGATCGCGTTGGCTATTGTCTCACAGCAGTCGCCAGGAGAGCGTGGAAAGGACCCAGTGACTTCACTCCAGAGGAGTGAGAGGGGGACAGCAGCCGCGTGGCAGCCTGCGGATTGCAGGGAAGGTGACTGCTAATTTTACAAGCCCGTGCGGATATGCTGGCACCTCCCAGGACACCAGGGGACCTGCCGTCACTTTTTCTGACTGCCTTTTCAATCTCCCAGCATTGAAAAGCTCAGTAGGAAAGAACTTTACTCCATGGTAGAGCTTTTGCAATTTTCTCTAAGGTCAATATTGCACATGGAGTGCCTAATGGGAAATTGCTAGAAAAATGGCAGCTAATTACAGGTTAGTGGCTAAAACACCACTCTTCTCTGGAGAGCTCGGGCACATAGGTTGAAGGATAAAATAGGGCCGGACGGGATTCGATTTCTTTGTGTTTATCCAAGTCACTGGCCCAGGCAGGAAGGTAATATATGAAAAGGGACATTTTTGGAATAGTTGTTTTTGAATTATGCTTATGAAATACACACTGTGCTATGAAGGACATGTGGGAAAGCTACACTTTGCCTGCATGACTAATTTTTAAAGCCTTGCATAGAGAGAATTCCCTCCCAAGAACACAGCTGGGCTATTCCTTCGTGGACTGAATGTATCAATTCTGAATTGAACTAAAAATGAAATTTTACTCTATGATGGCAAAACAAACCGAGGCATGGACCCTGCAGCTAGGGTATTACGTATAGTAGTTCATACACCAAGTACTAATAGTTTATTAACTTTAAGAACATGTTTTACATAAAAACAGGCAACATCAAAAAAGCTCAGTTGATAAATGAACATGATATATCACAGATGATTTCATTCCACATTAACCTACATTTATTCACTTAAACCAAAGGATTAGGGGGAAAATTGGATCTCATTCCACCTTTAATCATGGATACAAATCATTTGAAAGTTATTTCATTAGGATTCTGAAAATCAAAGATTAACTTATACCATCTGATCCATGCAGCAAGTGATAAATTCAGTATTTTCAAAGGAAACATTGAATTTTTTCACACATCAAATTGAAACCTTTCAGAAACTTGTTTAAATGCAGCAAGTTCCCAGCCCCCCTTTTCAGTATGCATGAGCAAAATACTCTTTAATTTCACACTCAACTAATCCTTTAATAATTTTCTTTCAGCCAGAATGAAAAAGGCTATTATTAATTTCCTAATAAAAAATTTTAAAGAAGTTATTGAGGCTATGACTCTAACCTTTGGACCAGTTTCAATTTCTTTTTATTTTTTCTGAGAATACACCAAAGATTAATGTCAATGGCAAGTGAGAAATTGTCCCTAGAGAACCATTCAAGATTTTTTTTTTTTCCTTACCACATTCAATTGGACTGGAATGAATTGACATTATAGCATCTTTATCATCATTTTTAAAATTCTACTTTCTTTTAATACTGACAGTGAAGGCCTTAGATCTATTACTTACTTTAAATTCATAAAGTATATCACAGACAAAAATATACAATTTTACATTAAAACAACATTAAGGGTCTCAGTAGAAATGTACAGTTAGCTTTATTTTAGAGATTGTTCTTTCTTTAGGGAAAAAGAATGAAACTGGATCTTCTATTTGTCTCCGTGGGCAAGATTTTGCAAACCTCATGATCGTGACACCTGTCAGTTAGAGGCTTGCTTGCGGAAAATGACCACCATGGCATCCTCAGTGTCGAAGCTCAGCAACAAGAAAAACGAAAATGAAAACACAAACACAAAACCAAACACGCAAATTACAAAAATCATACCCCAACCAGAGGCCTTCTAAGCCTCCACTCTAAATTTCCTGTTTCCCACCAGCCTGTGACCCTTAATGTTGCTGGATGGATGGTTGCATATCTGAGATGATTAAAAAATAAAAGACCGACTTAAAAGTACTTCCTCTCAAGTATGTAATTACATACAAACCCAAGATTCTTTCTGTCAGTCCTCGGGACCCATTTGTCACTGTTTCATTGGTGAGCACCACTGATCCAATTTTTAAAGCAAATACGCAGTTATTAACTGTTTAGTGTGTCCTCAAGTTTTGTTGATTCATTTGCTTTAACCAAAAAAGGGTGAAGTGTGTTATACTTTATGCTTTTCTTTTCATATGTGAATTGACAAAAATGTTAACTTTGGAAGTGCCTTTAATCACTATCTTCCCCAATAGATTAGATTTCGATGATTAAATCAGAAAGCCCTAGCTCCAAAAAGCACACATTGACCCTGCATACTGCATGCAAAACAAGGGGCTACTTGAGAGTATTTTCCCCAAATTCCTAATGGAAATGGCAGACAGTATGTGAGAAAGGCTGACCTTTAAACTGACCAACTTCAAGTTTTTAAAAATATTTGGTCCAAAAAAACATGTAGCAGTTTAAAAGATTAAAAACATAGAGAAAGGATATGCTATTTACAATACATGCCCAGTGACCCATCAACTAAAAAAAAAATGCTACATCCAAATGAATAATTACAGTAGTACTACCATCTTGGATCTTGGTACTGTCCAAAATTCTACAGTCACAACTAATGAGGGGATGTACTGGAGTTTTAAAATTATTATTCTTTCCTCATGAGAATTGGGAAAAAGTTGGGAAGAGAATGAAGTGAACTTTCACCCCTTGATGCAGGCCCTGTAGAGCAAACTTCAGCCTGGGGCCCATTTTTATGGTCAAATTAAAAACCTTTGAGAATAAGAGTTTATCATGGAAATGTTGACAGATCCTTACCCACAGAAGGACTAGGGGCAACACAATAATATTAAGAAAACTCTCCCTCAACATAAGCGAGCCTGGACTCTGGGGATAGACTTGTCTAATGGAAGCCATTGGCCAGCAAACAACCGTGATTTAATGTGCTTGAGCCTTGGTCATACAGTAGCTCTTGTGACCTTCTAAGCCAATTTTTCTTCTTTCTTTTTTCTTTCAACTGAAATATGCCTCAAAGGGCAAAGGATTGCAATTTTAGCTTTCATTCATGGATATATTGCTTTCTTTCAACAATATCTGACGGGCCTGTTAGCCACCACCCATGGGGGTGGTGAGCAGGTTTCAGGAAGGTCTCATTGAATACAAAACACCAAGTGTTTTCAGTAGTTTATTCACATTTTTCTTTGCTTATTTTAATATGCACCACGTGTAAGTTAGATGAGGGCTATGGCAAAAACATGTTCAATGATGGAGATCTTACTTTTCCTTCTAATGATCTGGAGCAAATCACATATTCATTGATCATAACAAATAAAATGATTTCTGCTACAATGCTGAGAAAAAACATGTTCATTAATATGAACAGTTCTCATCTACAGAGATGACTTACATGATGCAAGTAATGAAGGAGTTCTTCCTTATCTAGTCTATTATCAAACTGAAAAGAGGAATATTGAAATTCCCTTGAAAATACCATATGGTTGGTCAATTGTCAGTAAAGGAAAGACAGTCCCCATCACCAGGCCACCACCATAACAGCTATAGTAAATACTTGGAAAACAAAATATGGAAACACTTGTGGTGATGAGTAAATTGATAATTACAGAGATACACTGCCATAATGGTACATATTTGTTCTATGATAAGTGAAATAAAAAATAAGATCAATTTGGTTATAGAAATTCCCTAAAGAACACCACCACTTAATTATTTCAAACTTGAACTATCCCAAGAATGTCAAGAAAAAAATTAGAAAGCACTGGCTAAAAGCAAAGCAATCTGGATACACCAACGTAATCAGCATGCCTTGTGCTTGTCTGTTAACCCTCTGAGTACATCTCTGACATTCAGGATCTTGGTAGCTTAATGCTGGAAAGATTGCATTCCATCTGATTACTCAATATTTCTACTTGACAGGTCACATTCCACTGTTTATTCAGCATAGTCACTTGGATTCTGTAGCTGCTGTGTTGGGCTCCCCAGGATGAAGGAGCCCCGCATTTTTCTGAGCTGCTTGCCTGTCGGCCCTGTGCTGAGAAACACTCCCCAGCCTGCACCGTCCACAGTGCCCCCCGAGGAGTTGATGGCAAACAGCCCGGGCCATGCACTGAGGGGTCTGGACACTAGATGCCGCAGCAACACACTGAGTGCGCACGGGAAAGGCCGTAATTCAGAGAAATAAAGGAAACAACAATCTACTCAGGTAGATCTCAACCCGAAGGAATCTGCACACTGGCACATTCAGAGTTGAAGTCAAGCTCGGCAGCCACTCCTCAGCCTTAGAATAGTGCTTTGCTTTGTAGTTCTAGAGAAAGTGGTCATTTCTAACAGTTCAGTCAAGTAACATGGACTTGACCTACACACCAGCAGCCTTCCTGGTGTTCTGTGCTCTGCCTTCTACACCTCCCTCCCTCAAACGACTCTGTGGATTTACTGGTTAATGCTACTTCGTGTTTTGTAAGTGATCATTTCTGGACTCTCTCTAAAAGGAGAGAAAACCTCTGTTTACACATCAGGACCACACAGTCCATAGAGATGAACCTACATGTGGAAGAGCAGCACTCTGGGAGGCTGTGTTGCCAAGACAACGGCATATGATGACTAATTTCTGTATTAACATAGTGAAGGGTTTAAGAATAAAAAGCAGTGACTGAAGATCAATGTGTGGTTGAAAATGAAGAACTGACCATAGAATGGTCGTTCAGAAATTTCAAGGCTCTCAGATTCTAAAGTATATGCAAAACAGGAAACGTAAGGACTGTTCAGCCATCCAGATGTGAAGTTCATAAAACACCACTCACTGGCTGTCTCTGATCACAGAATTGGGGACATTCGAGTTGGCCCTTGCCTCCTGAGACCCCGTACTCTCTCCTCTGAGCTCTGTGGTAATGCACAGGAAGCCGAAGGCCCCCATTCTGAAATGCAATACTCCTACATTCCAGAAGAAACACAGGCCTGGAAACGCAAGGTTAGGGAGATGGATTTGGTAACCAGAGTGAAAATACAGGCCTCAGACAGGGCTTGGCCCCAAGACAAATCCATGTTCCCCTGGACAACTGAAAACAGTGGTGTAGGAAAACCATCTTCCAGAATGGAAGATCTGTCCTCAGGGTTATCTTCTGGGTCTTCCATCTTGATCTTTCCTGGGAGACCAAACAGGTAACCTAAAGGTGCACATGGCATTGTCATATCAGTGGTATACCTCTTTATAACCCATTTTTAGAACATTCTGGATTGTGTTCCCACTGTGCTTGGCCATCTTACAAAGCACTTGCCCCAGCTCTCCCATGTATGGATTTCATACTCAGTGGGGGATTTCACACTGACAACCACAGGGCATGAAAAAACAGGTGAGAAAAAGCACAGGATCTTGTTTCCTCTTTCTGCTAGAAATTCCAGCCCTGTGGAGCACCTGGCAATTTATTGCTCTTTTCTACCAGTTGTTTCTTCTGGGTAGATGTCTGATACCGAGCAGCAGACCCTCATTCACCCAGCACGAGACAAACTGTGGTTCCTGGAGGGTCTGTGCTGGTACTAGCAGCAGCTGATGTGGAAGCAGCATTTCTGGGGCATCATTAGTACAGCTTCATAGGGGGATGATTTGGGGGAGGGGCCCCTTCTGTTTCTTGAGTCAGGCTGTTGACCACAGACCCAATTCCCTCCACTCAGGGTGCAGGACTCACTGTAGCTAATAGTTATACCTCCAATGACAATTTTTTAAAAAAAAATCCCTTTCTTAATAGGATTGTGAAGAAGACAGAGGGGTGCCTATGTCCAAGTTATAGGCCTACCATGTTCTAAACCCACAGAGGACAAGCAAGAGTATCATTCCAGATGCCCTTCCTGTTTGGATATTTCAGCATCTAATAACACCCCATGCTCTGCAGCATCAAGAACTATGTGTGTATACACCCAAAGACCGGAAACATTCCTTAAGAAGGGTTCTCAGTAAAATTCTATGCACTCAGAGGGTTAACGTGCTCTAATACGTACTGCAGATCTAGCTCGAAGGATGAAAACATTCATTGCTTCTATGTTTTAAAAAACTGCAAATTAGCCTTAACCCTTTGAGGACCCTATAGCAGCAAATCACAATCTTCACAAACCCCCCTGGGCCATTCAATAAGGGGAAATTGCCATGAAGATACCTGAAAACACACTGTCTGTTCTGCCATTCAAGCTTTGAGTGCTAGATAGATCAGATGAAACTGTTTTACATAAATTTGGAAAAAAAACAACCTCAGAGTCTCAAAGGGTTAAGCTAGGACTTTGAGTAAAAGGGTCTTATTAAAAGGGTGAGTTGGGGGAGCGAACAGTCTCGGAGGAGCTTGGGGAGTAGTCTTCCGATTCCGAGGTGACTTCTGGCGGAGCGGGCTGTGCCTTGTACCGGCTCCTCACATCCTGGTTGCGTCTTCGTCGGAAAACCTGCCTCTCCTTATCAAGAGCGGTGGTCTAGCAGGGGCATAAAATGAGAAAGAGGGCAATTAGGCCGTGGGAAATGGCAAAATACACTCTAGTACTTTCTGAGGTTGCAAAAATATGCTGGCTAAGTTCACATGTCCATTAGGGCTCAATTTTGTTGGCAATTGTAGCCACTCTTGGGGAACTCTCTGCTCCCCCATATCCAGCTCTTCAGAGGACCTGTTAATCACATCAGCTGGCACAAGCAGGATGGATGATGTCATAGGTGAGACCTTTCCCTCGTCCTGTGCGGACTTCTGCTAGCTCCATATCTATTTACCCTTGCTGGCTCCCTGGCTAGCCAGAGCTTCCCCCTGCAAAGTGGCAGCCTCACTCCTGTGTGTGTGTGTGTGTGTGTGAGAGAGAGAGAGAGAGAGAGAGAGAGAGAGAGAGACAAGTAGGGACGCCCCTCGGGCCACACTGATCAACATGCAGCTCGGGCAGCTGTACAATAAAGATGAAACGTGATGAAGTTGTCAGACACAAAACCAGAGCCACCCACTCAACTCTGTTCTTTTGGTGCCTCCTCACTCTAAATGATCCTATTATCTGGTGATGAGAAAGTGTGGCTGAGTCTCTGGAAAGGATTGGTTTAATTTTAATGAAACTGAAGCCTGAAATGGAATACTGCCTTGAATGCAATTAAACCGAAGGGAAACCTTCGCATGGATTTCCCTTTACAAAGTTCATTTTCAGCGTAGGTATTCCATCTCCCAGCCTGGGTGCCTCATTTCCCTGAGCAAACCTCAGATGCTCCCAGGATGTGCTATCTGGCCGTAACTCTGGAAGCTATTATGACATCCGAATGGGAACCAGCATGACTGCATCATGGATTTAATGGGTGTGGGGAGGAGGAATAGGTCATTACAGGGAAAGCTTACACAGAGTGCAGAAGAGCAGGTACAAAGCCTGAAGAAAAATATAGAACACATATAAAAGTTGAAGGCGTCCTTGTTTGAAAGTCTCTCTTTAAAAGGATGTAGCCTGGAGGTGATTCTGCTTTTAAGAGATTACTTTTCCTCTGCAGGGATATATGCTACCATTTTTCCTCTTGAAAATTTACTGTTAGCTTCTTCAAAGAACTGAGATAAATTTATAGCCAGCCTGGTTCTGAGAACAAAGTGAAAACTAAGCCTCTGAAACAATCGTGGTATAGCATTAGAGCAATCTTAGTTCTAAAATAGAGCAATCAAAGTTCCAAAATGAAGTAATAAAGAGAGAAAGAGAGGCAATGTGTAGAATCAGTACAGTAAATGGCTTCGTTAGGCTGAACTGCTGTACTTTAAAAACTATCCACACACCAAATAACAGTATTACAAACCAATGAGGAAAATAAGCTTTAATCATTCACTTCTCGTTCCACTAGACTGCTAATACAATGATTCAATAACTCGTTGAAATGTCTACCTTTGACTCTTCTACTTGTTGAATTTTTAAGTTCTTGGTCTTCTGTACGTTGATTTTATGATATTTTTAGCATCATAAGCCCAAATTCCTAACTTTAAAACATTGTAAAACTACAACACATGGTATTTTGCTTTCAAAACAAACTGAAAATGCTCTGTTTGTATGGAGTTGAATATTTGTAAAAAAAACAGACATCTATTTAGTCTGACTGACATAAAAAGCATTCTGTAGTTAATCCAAGAGTAATATAAACTTTCTCTTGGTCATAAAAATTATTTCTATTTCTACTTTCTTGAGAATGAAAAAAAGTCATTGGCATTGGACTGAATTCTGATGAGGGAACAGAGGCAGTCAGATGTGGAAAAAAGAAACACATGGGGCTTGTGGTCAGGAATTTTGTGTCCTGCTCTGTCCGACTCTGGCTATGTGAATCATTCACTCAATTCTTTCATCTGTCAAACAAGGAGCAGAAATAATTCCTTTTCTCTAACCGAGTTGCTGTAAGTAAAAATGGATGTGCAAATGCTTTCTACACAGTCAAGGCTCTCAGAAATGTAAGGTGTTTAGGTGTTTTTTTTTTTTTTAACAATTTGAGGTAAGATAGTATTTTAAAATTAAATAATTGCAAGTCAGAGCAGAAAGCCACATTAGAACTTGACTCAGAGAACTTTCCCTCCCTCCCTTACTGTCACTGGCACTTTCTCAATATTTCACTCGTTTCTCCTCACAATGATTAAATAACTGGTTTGCAGATATTAAAATCTATCTTTGATTCTTCTGTTTAAAAATCTTTAAGAGCCCTCTATATATCATTTTGGGGCTTATCTCCATCAGTTTTTATGACATTTCTGATAGCCTACTTAATTAACACCAGTCACACTCGTGCTTGCAGACACGGAATAGATCATTTCTCCATGAATACTGTAACCTGTCCTATCCAGAGGCTGGTGGCACTTATTTCTCAGCCCTTGTTGGAGGGACCCATTGCCCTCATCTCACTTTCGGCTGTACAAATGCTTATAAATGCAATCCCACATCCTCCTCCTTACTTGCCCTTCTGCCTAGCTCTTTTGCTTTATCCCAGCTTAAATGGTCAGTTCTACCTACCCCTGCCAATCTCCCTGGCCAGAAACTTTCTAAAGGTTAACCTTTGCAGATGAGCACTCCTGTCTGAATGCTCCTGAGATTTCAGTTGCATGGTTCACTAGCATTCTCACGACACTTCTTCTTGGAAGCATATCATGGTCACGATCACATGTCATGGAATAAAGTTTTGGTGGTTGTTTCTATTGGATCTAGAGAATTCTTAAAGTTGAAAAGGGATTTACAAGGCATCTCTGTCTAATGCTCTCTGTCCTCACAGGCACAGAAACTGAGGCGTAGGCATGTGAAGAGACTTGCTCATAATTGCATTGCTAACTAGGAACAGAACTCAATTCTTCTCCTGCAAAAGGCCTAAATAAGTTTTGCCCATTTACTCTGAAGTTTAGTGGAACAGATTAAATGGATTCCCTGCACTTCAGTAGCTTACTGCTTCTCTCTTACTTCCTAGAGTGAGCTGGTAAGAAGACACGGAACACACTGGCTGCATCAAAGGCCAAGGTCAGGGCTCTCTCATGCAGATGGTTAAAGAACTCTCACTTAGGGGCAGCAAGTGGGGATCCATTGTGTGTTCAGTTTCTTTCTGAATTAAAAGGTCTGTAAACTCCTAGGAAAACCTGGGTCTGATAATAAACCCACCCAATTGCCAACCCACCCAGGTCCTTGAAATAGTCTGAAAGCCTGTAGGTAACATTGTGGGCTCTCAACCAATTTGCTTTCAGTGATGTTCCAGAAAACATCACTGTCCACAGGCATGTCCCCTGCTGCCAGGGCTCTCACTCCTCTTCTAGTTCCATGGACTCTGGCTTATTTTAGGAGCTTCTTTCTTTTCTGTTCTCATAATAATGTAGTATGCATTTCCCTCACTGTATCTTGCCTATCCCCAAATATTGCATAATTATGGGATATCCCATAATATCTCATAATAATCAATTCCAATTTACTGTTAACTCTTTGGAGGGCCAAGAGCCAGTCTTGGATGTCCTCTCTGCATTCTCCACAGTCCAACATACATACAACATGTCTGCTATGAACCTTGTGGCTTTTAGAATATGGGGAAGTGCAACAGAAGTCACCTTTTCCTCTCTGATGCACCCAAAGCTCAGTCCACACTGCACTCATTCAGCTGACAGGTCCATTTCTACAAGGTCCAATTTATTTACAATTTCTCATAAAGTCCAATTCTGTGTCTAAGCCCTTGCACTGTGCTTACAATAAAAGCTTCCCGGGTTTAATTCATGTTCTTACTCAAAATGATCCATGACATCAGTAGACTCATAACCCCATTAGCAGGCGTTGGGTTTTCCAGCACAGCATCTGGTTACTCTGCCCTTAACTAACCATATCTTATTTTCCCTTTGGAAAATTTATTTGCTCTGAAATTTACTGAAACAATGAAGTGGATTCCTTGCACTCTAGTAGTTTGTTCTTTTCCCTTTGTGCACAGTATGAGTGGAGAGAAGACACTGACCACAGGCAGATTCAAAGGCCACCAAAGACAAGCACTTTCCCATGCTCATGATCAGAGAAACCTCCCTCGGGGGCAGCAAGTGAGGAACTATTGGGTACTCAATCCCATTCTGCATCAGGCAGCCTGTCCACTCTCATCATCTAAGGTTCCAGTGAGGGCGACCCTACTGCCATTGCTTGGGGTGGCACAGGAGTGAGTTTACTACATTCCTCAATATCCAGGATTGGGTCAGGATAGGTACCCTACTCTGTCAATGGGCCACAGTAAGATTTTTGCTGGGTCTTCACCAATACACTAAACCCTGTTTTTGACAGGGTGGTAGCCCTGGAGCTGCTTCTCACATCCTGGTATCTTGTGGAGTCTAAGACTAAAGCAGGGCTGAAGGATGGAAAAGTAGTCAAGTCTTGCCTCAGTGCTGAGCCCACTCGTCCCTGAGGCCAGACCCTACCTGTGGACCTTTCAGGCCATGCAAAATAATACAGTCCTGTTTTGCATGAGCCAGTTTAGTTTGGGTTTTCTTCTTTTGTCATCAAGACAGTCCTAATGGGTAGATCTCTAAAGGTACATTAATCATTTTCATCTCCACTCGTGTCTCAAGGTGTTCACAACCTGAAACGACCTCTCCTCCTCTCTGACCACTCGAATTTATTTGTTTTCCAAGACTCGATCAAATGACACACTCCACCATAAACCCCTTAAACTCCTCAGGCAAGAATTGGCCAAAGTCTGGAGGAAACTTTTGGCACTTCATTGTACACTAACCTCTTACATCTTTTCTTTGCATATTTTCCAAATACCATGTAAATACCTCTATGGTAAGATTTGCAACTTTGCATTTTCCGTAATGCTTAGCAGACTGTGGCACAAATATTGGGCTCCTATGCAATATTTCTTATGAATACAGAGTTATTTTAGGTGATTACGTCCTTTCTGAATAGCAACAAGAGAAAACAGAATCTAAAGCAGCTCTCTAAAATAAGCGTAAGAAGTGAAGAGTATTGAGCCAATATTT